ATGACTACAATAAAAGCAATCTGGCTAAAACAGGGAAGCGGTCTATGGAAGTCTCTATACATATGTCGTACTTTTAATCTAAATGACCACATACGTAAATATAGCACTTTACTTGAGAGCACCATAGGGGGTGGGGGTGGGGGTGGGGAGCAGTGGCCAGCCAAGACGATGAAATGGTGAGGACAGGCTCAGTAAAACAATATTGAATGTCTCACTAGGCTTCCCACCTTCCCCATCCCCAGCCCCCTGACAACAGGCACAGGCACAACAAAGCCACCTCCACTCACCTTGTTCGGTGTTGCCTCCTGTGCGAGCAGAGTCCGCGCGGGGAAGAAATAACCTCTGTCAGCTTGCGCAGATTTCACTCGATGTTCGATGCCGTTGTCACATGACAGCTGTCGTTGCAATCCGTGGCGCCGTCGGTGGGTTTCGGGCGGCAAAAAGGTTCAAGGGATGCCACCCTTCGACAGACGACGAGAAAAACACAAGCAGGATACAGCAACAGTTTCTCGATCCGGCCGCTGCCTGTCAGCACGCTCACGCTGCAACACTGCGCTTGTTGTTGTTGTTGCTGGCGGCGGTATTGTTGCTGCCGCCCGGTGTCCAATCACAGCGCGGCTCGCCGGCCGCCGCCCGTCGCCAGGCAGAGTGAGGGGCGGGGGTGGAGGCGGCAGGGCAGCGAGGCGGCGGCGACATAAACAAATGAAGATTCAAACAAGGCCGCCGGCAACGAAATTCGAAGCACACGACTACGTTGCTTCTTGCTTCATTCGAATCAGAATAAGCGTAGACCATTGAAATTTCGAGCGGAAAAGAAAGGCTGCGAAATGAAATACCTCCTCACCGGTACTTCGCGCGCGAAAGAGTCTGCCGACGACATGGAAATACCCCACGCGTGGAGAGTCTCCGTAAAGCTAGTGTACGAAGGGTGGTTGGCGGGGTCTCGACGGCCTAGCGCTGGTCGAAAGCCGGAGGCGGAGGCACAGCCTCGTTCAAGATAAACGACCGGCTGATTGAGGCTTGCGGCGTCTGGTGGTGTGGCTTAGAGTGCTTAGAGTGTGGCTGCCCTGGCGCCCGGCGAGCACACCATAACACGCACGGGTGTATGATGGGTTGCCTACCCACCGGGCGTCCAGCAGGTCCAGCACGCGCCGGCGGATGGGCAGACGAACAGTTTTCGTCGCGATATCTCTCACTCTCTCGCACTCATCGGGCGCTCCGCAGTAGGGGTTCGAGAGAGACAGCGGCAAATCAGCCTGCAGGCTCGAATGGAATCGAATGTCTTTTCGCCGGAGCGGACGACATGATGCGGCAACGGGTTCCGTGCTTTCATGTGCCCAAGTTAGGACCTGGGTGCGTGTTGTCAGTGTAAATTGAAGCGCAGAGCCTCGATTCTCGATTCGATACTTGGACGTACACATACACGAAGCGGCGAAGCCCCCAGCTGACGTCGCCGCCGGCGTCTGTCCCCGCGGCGCCCCGCCCCGGCCGCGCGAGCCAGCAGACAGGGCCGATTCCGAGCAGAGCTCGAACGCTGTCTCTCTCGCACTCGTGGCGCGTCCCATGAGGGCGCGAGAGAGACGGCGACGAAGCAGTCTTCGGGATCGCTCTCTGCAGGTGGGGCCTGGCCCCGGGATGGCCGGTGCAGGCGTGGGGCGGCGCGCCGGCGGCGTTCGTGGCGGTGGCGTTCGCGGTCCCGGAGTCAGAGCAAGTCAGAATCAGACGCAGCGCGCGCCGCCGCCGTGCCGCCGTCCCCGTCACCTCACGGGCCGACGCGCCGACGCGCCGACACTTGGCCCGCGCAGCCGCGACCCGCCGCGTCGCTCCGCCCGCCAGGCCGCCAGCCGACAAGCAGCGCCGGCAAGTGCAGCACCGCGCGGACGTCAAGACCCTCCTCAGGCAGGCCCAGGCAGGCCCAGGCAGGCCCAGGCAAGCAGCACACTCATTCCTAGAGTCGCTTTCGTCGCTCTGCCTCTCTCGCACTCAAGGGGCGCACAGTGGGTCAGAAGACCGGTGGAGGCGGCCAAAACTCTGGACGCGTTTTGAGCTCCAGAGTCGCTGAACAGGACTCGAACCGGACGTGTGACCCCACCAATGGATTGCTCTCCGAACGAGGAATCCATTGGTGGGGGTCACACGTTCGGTTCGAGTCCTATTTGGCGACTCGGGAGCTCAAAACGCGTCTAGAGTTCTGGCCGCCTCCACCGGTCTTCTGTCCCACTGTGGGGCGTCCCGTATAGGTGCGAGAGAGACAAAGCTCGACTCTCGGAATGAGTCTGCTGGGCGCGCAAAAATAATCCTTTTGCAATTAACCTTGTCTCTGTACCTCGTCAACGGCTAGTTGTTCAAAGGGACGAATCCGTCTTAAATGCAATTGAAGACGGGGTCATCCCAATGCATAACATTTCTTATCGCTAGCCGTTACGAGACACCGAAACAACGTTCATTGTAAAAGTGTAATGTTTGCGTCCCCTGCAGCCAAGTTTCCCCCCAGCGGGCGGAGAAGCAAGAGTGGTTCTTCCTTTCGATGATTCGGTTTTGTTCGGGTAAACATGCTCGGTGTTGGGCTTCGCGTTTCGCAAAAAGGATTTCGCGGATAAGCGGCCTCGGTGCTCCTCTGTGTTCTGTGTGCGAACGTCTGGATCTGTGTTTGTGCTTTGAATTGCGAATTGCGCCTCGACGGACTAATCGTTTGGTCCATGCTCTTGGCTCTGGCTGGGCACTCGCTGACTCCATCCGCTGTCTCTCAGGCAGCTGTTTCAATAGGGGTGGCTTCTTACGGATCCAGGACTGGGAGTGAGGGGAAATAGTGTAGATGCCTACGGCTGAGTGTTGAGGGTTGCCTACACCGCCGTGTTCATCATCATCATCATCATCAAGGGCTGGACCACATATGATCGTATATGCCATTTCGGGCCCGACACATGCCCGCCTGCACTGCAAAACGGGACATGGTTAGGTTAGGTTAGGTTAGGTTTGGTGTGCCAGCCGGCTCTACCGGCAAAGCTGCCTCAAAATTCGATTTTCGAAAACCCCTTTTTGATTCTGTCTTTGAACAAAGCAGGTACCGTTGAGGCGGCGAGTAGTGGCAATACTACGGACTGGTTCGAGTGATCCGCCTTCTCCATGAAACTGCATTAATCGCTGCTCCGCCGCTTGACCTAGGCACTGCCGGCTGCTTCCCAGACTTCCCCGCAGTGCTTTCGTCGCTCCGTCTCTCTCGCACTCGCGGGCCTAGTGGGCTGGCCCGCTGGGGTGCGAGCGAGACGGAGCGACGCGGCGGGTTGTTCGGAATAGACCTGCTGCTAGGCACTCGGCGCGGACTCGGCGGACTCGGCGAGTAGGATCGCGACGCACGCGGTAGAAGGAAGAAAAAAGAAAGAGTTATCACAATTTAATACTTGTATGGCCGAAGCGGCCGAAGCACTCAGCGCAATTTGCATCTTGCATTGCTTCGCGTCCATTACTTCCATTACTGCAGCACGCTGTCCACTTCCGTGCGGTTTTCCCGGGTTTCCCCAATCGAACCCCCCAGGGTTGGCCGTGGCCAATCGGAATAGCTTCCAGCAGGCCAACGTCTTTGTCGTTGTAGACCGTCATTTTTTTTGGCAGTGCCCAACCACACGTGGAGTTCTTCCTCCGGCGTGTCCTTCTGGGAGGACGATTTTGAAGCGTTCGGAACAGCAAGGCTCCGCCACTGCTCCGCCATTGTGCGGAGGGCAGACAGGCCGAAAAAGCGGCGCTTTAGTGTGATTGATTGGCGAGGAGGTTAGAAGTGGCAGAACACTGAGGCCCAGCGCGGGTGGGGTGGGGGGAGGCCACTTTCGGCGGAGTCTCGCAACCAATCGGTGGCATTTGGAGATCAAGGCAAGCCTCTCGTGCGAGTGACAAACATTGGGAAAGAAGGCCGAAAATGGGGAATTGAGCGAGCGGACACCTGCCCCGGATTTTTCCAGTGTGAGGGTTAGGGGTCATTCCCATACTACGTGACCGATTTTCGGCCACTTTTTGACCCCTCCCTCCCCCCTTGTGACCTCTAGTGGTATTTGCCTGAACCCCTCCCCCCCTCCCCACTTTTCACGTAGTATTTCAAAAGCAAGCCAATTTCTCGCATTTCGTCGCGTGCGCTATTAAAACACTCTCATTCGAAGTACGTGACATCACGTTGAAACGAACGAGTCAAAATGTCACGTTCGCTTAAGCATTGTGTCACATTCGTTTGAACGTGAACAAGCAAAATTTGGGCCGATTCGCATCCAAACGAATGTGTTACAACGCTCAAAGGAATGTGTAACAATGTGATTTGGAAGAAAAAAAACTGTGATAACATTGGGCGCGGAAAAGGAGTTGGGGGTGTAAGGCCATGCCGGCATACAGGACATGAGCCCCGTCCCGTTTGAGCCCCGATGGTCTGAGCCCCGACCTGAGCCCGGGTTGAGCCCCGACTTGAGCCCCGACCCAAGCCCCAATTTTCAGAGCCCGGACTGAGCCCCGACCTGAGCCCCGTTTGAGCCCCGTTTGAGCCCCATTTGAGCCCCGCGACCTGAAACCACGCATTTTTGCATGATTCATTGCCCCGAGGCTCAAGTGGGGCTCAAATGGGGCTCAAACGGGGCTCAGGTCGGGGCTCAATCCGGGCTCTGAAAATTGGGGCTTGGGTCGGGGCTCAAGTCGGGGCTCAACCCGGGCTCAGGTTGGGGCTCAGGTCGGGGCTCAGACCATCGGGGCTCAAACGGGACGGGGCTCATGTCCTGTATGCCGCCATGCCGTGCCGCAGGAACCGTCACGCCGCGCCGTTACGGCGAGTCGGCGGCGTGTTGAACGCTTGAAATGTTTAATAACTGACGCTTTTGAGATACTACGTGAATTTCCCAAAACCCCCCCTCCCTCCCTGTGACCTGAAGTGGTATTTTGAGAAACCCCTCCCCCCTCAAAATCGGTCACGTAGTATGGGAACGCCCCCTTAACGACTGTGTCCTTTGCCTCCACAGCGCCGCTGCCGCGTGCCGCCGCGCCCCGCCATGAGGATGGACGCGTTCGCCATGGGCACCGTGCCGGTCGACGGCGGCCTCGCGACGCCCAAGCTGCCCCGCGCCCCCGCCGTGCTCGTGCACGCCGCCAAGAAGTGCTACGTGCAGGGCCAGTGGATCCTGGACGGGCTGGACCTCACGGTGCCCGAGGCCAGCATGTGAGTGCACCACACCAGTGGACTCGGACATCTAGCAGCAGGCCCATTACCAGAGTCGCTAAATAACACTCGAACCGAACGTGTGACCCCATCAACGGATTGCTCTCCGAACGAGGAATCCATTGGTGGGGTCACACGTTCGGTTCGAGTCCCGCTTAGCGACTCTGGAGCTCAAAACGCGTTTAGAGTTTTGGCCGCCTCCACCGGTCCGCGGCCGGGGCTCGAACCCAGACTGACACCCTGCCGCATGCTGCCGCATGCTGTCGCAGATACGCGCTGCTCGGCGCCAGCGGCTGCGGCAAGACCACGCTGCTGACCTGCATGCTGGGGCTTCGGCACCTCAACGCCGGCACGGTGCGCGTCATGGGCTGGCGGCCGGGAGACCCCGGCTCGGGCATCCCCGGGCCTCGCGTCGGCTTCATGCCGCAGGAGCTGGGCCTCAGCGAGGGCTTCTCCATCAGGGAGACGATGATCTACTTCGGCAGGGTGGCCGGCCTCCCCGATGACGTCATTCGCCAGAGGTCCAACGACCTGCTCAAGTTCCTTGACATCACGGCCAAGCAGAGCCGCCTGCTCAGCCAGCTCAGGTGTGTCTAGGCTAGACCAACCGGGACTGTCACACTGTTGCCACGTACACTGTGAAGAGAGGGCACTGGCCGTCATTTTTCAGCCGTCAATTGTTCTAATTGTTGGGGGTTCTGAGAGGCCGAACCGGTTCGGTCGGCGACCTGGTGGCGCCCGGAGCGACCTCTGGGCGGCACACCAGGCTTGGTGGCGCCCGGAGCGACCTCTGGGAGGCACACCGGGCACACCAGGTGCGGATCCAGAGGGGGGGGGCGATGGGGGCGTCGCCCCCCCTGAAAGGTCGGCAACAAGTCATACATTGCCCCTGTAGGTAGGCAACTTTCGCGACATCGCCCCCCCCCCTGAACCCTTATCTGGATCCACCCTTGCGGCACGCTGGCGCACTTCTTGACGGTGCCGCACCAGTGCACAGTGGGTCAGAAGACCAGTGAAGTTGGCCAAAAAGTCAGACACGTTTTGAGCTCCAGAGTCGCTAAACAGGACTCGAACCGAACGTGTGACTCCACCTATGGATTGCTCTTTGAACGAGGAATCCATTGGTGGGGTCACACGTTCGGTTCCAGTCCTGTTTAGCGACTCTGGAGCTCAAAACGCGCCAGGAATTTTGGCCGCCTCCACCGGTCTTCTGGCCCACTGTGCGGCACGCTTCCCGCAGCCTCAAAGTGCCACAACAACGGGCAGAAAGACGCGAACTCGAAAGCCGCGGCTCGTAATTCTTGCATTCATGAGGTGCGGCATGGCCAGGCCAGGCATGCCTGTGAGCGAAGCGCGCCTAATAAAAAGCGCATCATGGCTGCGAGGAGGAGAAGCAGAAGGAGAAGGGGGAGGAGGAAAACGACTCATAACTGACGCTGGCTGCGCTTGGCTGTCGACCGGACTGTTCATGAAAGTCTCGCTGGTTCAGGGTCACGGGGATTCTTCTACGGAGGCATAGCGCTCGCTTCCGGAGGCAGCGCGGCTTGTTTGTGTCCATGACCAACGACAAAAAAATGTCGACGGCGGCGCGGCAGCCGGGAATCGAACCTGTGACCAACGCGCAATGCCTGGCTAGACGAGACGGAACGTGACGAGTTGCGTGTTGTAGCGGCGGCCAGAAGCAGAGGGTGTCCTTGGCGGTGACGCTGCTCCACTCGCCGCCCCTTCTCATCCTGGACGAGCCTACCGTCGGCGTGGACCCCGTCCTCCGGCAGAAGTAAGTGCCACCAACCTACTGCACTGGGAAAACTGAAGCTTCAGTTCTGCCAGTGCACCAGTGTCCTTGGCTCTGAAGCGCGCTCTGAAGCACTAACTAGCGGTTGCCGGTCTCTGACGGTCTCTGATTCCTGAACCTCGGCTTTGCAGCATCTGGGACTTCCTCGTGGACCTGACGCGCACCTCCGGGACCACCGTCATCATCACGACGCACTACATCGAGGAGGCGCGGCAGGCCAACAAGGTGGGTCCTCGTCAGCAACATTCAGGTTCATTTAGTTTTGCAGTGTGACGTGCTCCCGTTCCGCAGGTGGGTCTGATGCGCCGCGGCAAGCTCCTGGACGAGGACGACCCGGACGCCATGATGGCCAAGCACAACTGCGCCACGCTGGAGGACGTGTTCCTGAACCTCAGCATCCGCCAGGAGGGCGTCCAAGTGACCACCGAACCCAGCCAGGAGGCGAAGCGTCCAGAACACCAAGTAGGTGGCCAAGTAGGTGGCCAAGTAGGTGCCGCACACGGCGCACGATGGGTCAGAAGAGCGGCCAGACACGTTTTGAGCTCCAGAGTCGCTAAATGGGACTCGAACCGAACGTGTGACCCCACCAATGGATTCCCCGTCCAAAGAGCAATCCATTGGTGGGGTCACACGTTCGGTTCGAATCCCATTCAACGACTCTGGAGCTCAAAACGCGTCCGGGGTTTTGACCGCCTCCACCGGTCTCCCGGCCCACTGTGCGGCGGGCTTGAGTCGCGGTTCGCTAGCACTGGTAATGATAATGCAAACGGCCTCGCTTCTCACAGGCTGTCGAGAGGAGGCACATCAGGCAGGCCATGGAGCAGTACGAGAAGCCGGCCCAGTTCCCCCAGCACAGCAACGTCATGGCGTGCCTGTGGAGGGCCTGGCTGTACATCACCAGATACAAGTGGTGAGCACGGCAAAGCACGGCATGCTGCATTGGAGCGCCGCAGACCGCTGCAGCTTTGCAGACCGTCCCCGTCATCATGCAGATCGCACATTCATTACGTTAAATAATTGGGAGTGCCTCTGCGGCTGTCTGGAGGCGGACCTCGCCGGTTAGCCTGCCTTCAACTGCAAATAGTGGAGAAACGAGTATTCGCAGGCTGGGACTGTCGTGACGTCCACCCGGGTCCACGTCCTTGGTCCTGCCTCCACCTGCGAATAGTGGAGGAACGAGTATTCGCAGGCTGGGACTGTCGTGACGTCCACCCGGCTCCACGTCCTTGGTCCTGCCTCCACCTGCGAATAGTGGAGAAACGAGTATTCGCAGGGTGGGACTGTGATGTACCCTGGTCCACGTCCTTGGTCCTGCCTCCACCTGCGAATAGTGGAGAAACGAGTCTTCGCAGGTTGTGAGGTCCAGGGCGTCCACGTCCTTGGGTCCTCTCGCGCGTCCTTCCCGACGGCCGCGCCTGGAAGGGGCCCGCCTTCTTCACTGTCAGTGACTGATCGCGCTGCTGTGTCGGCAGGGCGGCCGCAATCACGCTCAGTCGCTCAGTACAATCACCAAAACAATATTGCAAAGTTGAAGTTCTGGCAGTGCCTCCTTTCGACGGCAAGAGCCCCAAGTTCCCCAAAAGTATTGATGCCTAGCGCCCTTTTTCTCGCGTCCGAAACTGTAATGTTGTGTACAAGTTCGAAAATTCGGGGCGTCTTTGCGGCCCATCGAGTCCGAAGAGCATCTCCGAGATGGTGGCGCTAATGATTCTTTAGTTTGGCTGGGTACACACACATACATAAATATACACACACACATATATACACACACACACGGTGCCAGGCCGCCAGTCGTACTGCTAGTAAAGTCTTTACTTACGTCAGCCCCCACGTGCAGCTGTGTATCGACGTCTTCATATCAATATCCTACTTTTTACTTGCGAAAAAAACAATCATTGATTTCGTGGCAAAGGCCCAATTTGAATGCGACACCACCATTCGCGTCACGCGGCAGCGACCACATTTTTCTGAAAGTGTAATTTATTTTTTCTCCAGCTTGGCTGTTGACTCGGCACTCGCGGAAAGTTTACTCGCACATACTCAATAGGGACAACATTGTACGAACACCGCGGGGTGAATCACTAGTGTGTGCTCAACACATCGGCCCGTACTCGAACTCGCAACTTTTCTCAGAGGAAAATGCAGCGCCATTCTTGGCGCGATTGTCCCCTTAGATAAAGTTATGCTGGAAGGGCATTAAAATGGTGTACTGGTTAGCGCCTCTCGCAGGATTTTACCCCTTTCTTCCGCCAGTGTGGGTTATATTAGGTTTGGTTATGTTAGTTGCCACCACCTGCAAAAGTTTCCATCCCAGGCGCTCCATTCTCATCTCTCACTCTTAATAACTTGGCCATCCATTTGGAGAAGCTTTGCGTCCGGGGAGCGATGACGTCATTACGTCACTACTGGCGTAAAGCCATTGTGGCACATTGTATGCCGCGATGGCGCGACGTCGCTGACTGAACCAGGCACTTCGCGCTAGTGCCTCCGTCCACCACTGATGCCTTCTTAATTGACCATCTTGGACCGGATCATAGTGTTGCACTCCATTTTCTGTCTTTTTTTTTCTCTTCTTCCTAAGCAAACGTGACACGTGGTATTTCCCCCTTTATGTTGTATTACTTGCTTAGATTGACTTAGACTCACTACTAGACTTAAGACTGGACAGAGTCTTTGATTATATTTAGCTTTGACTGATTGGGTTGACAAGAAATGACTTCACTCTCCGACTGCATGGTAACTTGAATTTCAGCTTCTCAGAATTATGCACACTTAGATTTCTCATACTTCTCATATTACAGTGTTACCAACTTCTACCATATTACATCACTTTACAAATTTCTTCTTAATTTATCTAAAGAAACGAAAATTTTTGCACAGTTGTGGGAAATTGCTTAGTGATACTTGAGAAAAATACTATGATGTTTGCTGCTTCCAGAAATGCGCTCCCTTCACTGCATGACTCACGCCGCGCGCGCGAAAGTCAATACCCGGCTCGTCGACACTTCACTCTGACGGCCCGACACAAAAAAAAAATTCAAATAAAGGTCCTTTGACGCGGCAGTGCACAAGAACACTAGAATCGATGGAGAGACAAAAGACTCTGCCGATACTGCACAGCTTGGGGCGTTTCTTTTGCGACGGGGTACACTCCTGTAGCGCCCTCGCCATTATGTATCATTCGGCTACTTTGTCGGGAGAGCTTGTGGGTGTGCGAGAGAGAGATCGTGCTCTAAAAAAAAAAAGCCACTGAGCAGTAAAAATTTTGACTGCCACTTGATGACAATTGCTAGGTTAATTTCCCCGAAGTGAATGCCATCAAACCAGTTGTAACGCCCATGCAATACGAGCAGGATCCTTGATGAAACATCAATTTATGATGAAATCAACTTTTTCGCTAAGCGACGAAATGGTTTTATCAGTGGCGTTGCATTGCTGCTTCCAGGGTGACGGCGTACGTGGTGTTCATGCCGGTGCTGTGCATCTTCGTGTACTTGTTCGCCGTGGGCCGCGACCCGCACGGCCTGCACGTAGCCATCGTCAACGACGACTCGGCGGACCAGTGCGCCGCCGGCTGGCCGGGCTACCCGACCGACTGCGAGCAGACGGCGGCGGAGCAGCTGAGCTGCCGGTTCCTGGCCCTGCTCAAGGAGAAGCACGACTACATCCTGGTCAGTCTCTCCAAACGACGCCAGCGACGCCTCAGCTTGCCCCGGCGCAAGCAGAGCCAACTACTGCCGACATAAAACTTTAACGCCACCGACCACACTAGTCCACTCGCGATGCTCATATCGAATCTCATTGGCAACAAACAGCGCGACCGATTCCGCTCATCGCCGTGCTCTGTCTCTCTCGCACTCGCGGGGCGAGCCGAGTCGGAGCGACAGAGACAGCGCGACGAAACGCCGAGCGGAATCAGTCTACAGTGTGTCGGCTTGAATGGCGCGGGGCGGCCGGGGCGGCGACTGGAGTAGTACGCAAATGAAGGCCTGAGCGGTCTGCCGCTCTGTCTCTCTCGCACCCCTATGGGGAGCCCCGTGAGTGCGACGGAGACGGAGGGACTGACGTCAGCTGCATGTGCCGCAGGATCTGTTCGACGACATGGACAGCGCGCGGACGGCCGTGCTGCGCGGCCACGCGTGGGGCGTGCTCAACTTCCCCGCCAACTTCTCGTACCACATGACGCAGCGCCAGCTCTACATGCAGGACGCCACGGAGGCGGACTTCGACGGCAGTGAGGCTGACGCCCACATCGACATGTCCAGTAAGACTGCGCGCCGAGGACCAGCCACCGGCAAGGCCACCGGCAAGGCCACCGGCCGGGCACAGTGGCTTTGCCAGAAGGCCAGCGCGGCCGGCTAAAACTCCAGACGCGTTTTGAGCTCCAGAGTCGCTAAACGGGACTCGAACCGAACGTGTGACCCCACCAATGGGCTCCTCGTTCGGGGAGCATTCCATTGGTGGGGTCACACGTTCGGTTCGAGTCCTGTTTAGCGACTGTGGGGCTCAAAACTCGTCCGGGATTTTGGTCGCCTCCACTGGTCCCCTGGCCCACTGTGCGACGATGCAATGTCGATAGGGTTGCCAACCGCCACCCTGCCTGCCAGACAATAACTGGGCTTTGCTCTCGAGGAGTTGTCTGGCATGCTGGCTGAGGTTGGCAACCCTCTCGCCTTGAATGGCGCGGCGGGCATGTGTCGGGCTCGAAACGGCATACGATCAATTGTGGTCTAGCCCGTAGTGGTAATGGTAATGGCAAGCCTGGGAAAGCCTGCAAGACAGCGGAGCGTGGCGGGCCTGCCTACCCGCGAGTTCGCAGGCGCTCGGGCTGCAGGCTGCCAGCGCTCACGACGTTGACGACGTTGACGACGTTCTCGTGCCCCAGACCAGTACCTCGGCAACATGGTCCGCGACGCGCTGTTCCGCACAACGATCCGCTTCCACGACGACCTGCAGAAGGGCTGCAACCTGAACCCCCGGATAGGCGCCATCCCCATCAACCAGCTGGAGCCCGTCTTCGGCAACAACGAGCCCAGCTTCCAGAACTTCGCCCTGCCCGGCGTCCTGCTGTGGTGAGTCCCTCGCACTGGCGCACGGCGCACAGTGGGCCAGGAGACCGGCGCAGGCGGCCAAAACTCCAGACGCGTTTTGACCGCTAGAGTCGCTAAATGGGACTCGGACCGAACGTGTGACCCCACTAATGGATTCCTCGCTCGGAGAGAAATCCATTGGTGGGGTCACACGTTCGGTTCGAGTCCCATTTAGCGACTCTGGAGCTCAAAACGCGTCTAGAGTTTTGCCGCCTCGTCCGGTCTTGGCGCGCCCACAGTGCAGCTGGTAAAACTGAGGCGTACCATTCTGTCTGACGTGCACCTGCCCGCTTGCCAGCGTCATGTACTTCCCGGCCATCTTCTACTCCACCGCCAACTTCCTGGAGGACAAACTGAACGGCGTCATGGGGCGCAGTGCCGCCGCGGGTGAGTTGGCCTGCGACTGAAATAAGTTTTTCCGGGGTGGGTGGGTGTCTACACACGCCTCTTTGTTGGCAGGCGTGACCCAGTTTGAGATGCTGGCGGCGCGCGCCATCCTGGACTGCGCGATGAACGCCCTGAGCACGGCCATCGTCATCTTCATCACGTTCGTGGTCCTCCAGTTCACCAACAACGGTTCCTACATCCTCCTCAGCCTCCTGATGTACCTGCAGGGGCTGTGCGGCCTGTCGTTAGGTGATTGATCCGGGAATTTCCAAGATCTTCTTCAACATTGAGCCCTCTGTCACACTGACACGAAAACGCGCGTCTGACCGCAGGTTACTTCGTGGCCAGCCTGTGCCCGGACCACTACTCGTCCACGTTCATGGGCATGGGCATCTTCTTCCTGAGCACCTTCGTGAGCGGCATGTTCTGGCCGTCGCAGGGCATGCACTGGTTCGTCAAGATGCTGGCGCCCTTCACGCCCATGATGCTCTCGGTGGAGGGCGCGCGCACCATCCTGTACCAGAGCTCCAACCCCAAGGACATCGGCGAGGGCTTCCTGGCCACCGGGACCTGGACGGCGGCCACCTTCCTGGCCACCATGCTCATCATCCGGTGGCAGAACAAGCGCGGCTAGCGCGGCTAGGCCGCCAAGAGGTCGCCGCGACGCCAAGGCGACGCGGTCGTCAAAAAAATATCTGTGATTTTGTCGTTGGAGCGAAAGCCTCGCGGGCTTCTCGTCTCTGCAGTTGGCTGTGTCGCTGTGTCTCGGTGACGGCCAGCATCGCCAGCATTGGCGGCCACTCCTCGCACCGCCGATGCCGGCTTTCCGTTTCCGCGCAGGGTTCTGGCCCCGGTCGCCGCGGTGTTCGCCGCCCAAGACGCGTTTCGAGCTCCAGAGTCGCTAAACAGGCCTCGAACCGAGCGTGTGACCCCACCAATGGATTCCTCGTTCGGAGAGCAATCCGTTGGTGGGGTCACACGTTCGGTTCGAGTCCCACTTAGCGACTCTGGCGCTCAACGCGTCTAGAGTTTTGGCCGCCTCCACCGGTCTTCTGGCCCACTGTGCGGCGTCCTCCCTTGCCACTATCCTGCCTAGACAATTCGTGGAGACAAGAACTGGCCAGCTCGGCGCTCGAGTGATGTAGTAATGTGCATACACACTAAATTCCTTGGTGCAATTTATGGACGTGATATCACAATTTTGCGCGTGCTTGATTTTCGTGACCTCAAGTCGCCGGTGGCAGTTTCGCTCTTCACAATGTAGCGCCAAACGTCCACGGAGGCGATCACGAACACGCCGTGCACACTCAACGTTCCAGCTGTGACGCCCTAGTTTAAGTTTTAAGACTGACAATAACGACTCGGTTTTTCCCCCCAGAGCGCTCTGATTCCATATGGCTCTCCCACGACGAAGTGGACCGTTTCAAAGGTCCGCGGGTGGTTTTCTGTTCCCCCCCTCCCCTGCCTGTTTCTAGCGGGGACGCTGTGCTGGCTGCTGGCTTTTACTCCCGGTGGCGGAGCGGAGTGCAGCGTGCAATGCAGGAAGCATCGGCCAGGTGCATCGCAGTGCAGTGGTCGCCCCGCTAGCCCCGCTTGGCAACGCCATCCGTGCCCCGCCCCTCTCTCGGTCTCTCTCTCTCTCTCTCTCTCTCTCTCTCTCTCTCTCTCTCTCTCTCTCTCTCTCTCTCTCTCTCTCTCTCTCTCTCTCTCCTCTCTCTCTCTCTCTCTCTCTCTCTCTCTCTCTCTCTCTCTCTCTCTCTCCTCTCTCTCCCCTCTCTCTCTCTCTAGCCTGGCCTTGAGTGGCTCCAGCCTGGTCCTATTACACATTGCGTCCGCCGTTAGCAGGCTATCATCACTTACAAACAGCTCTCTTCAAACGTTTTTACGATTTTGTATCACTCCGATATGTTTTAAAAAGTTGACCGCCTTATTCTTTTGCTCTGTCCGATATTTTTGGCGAATGAGTAGATTTTTCGCCAGTCTCCTGCTTTGCAATAGCCCACCACCGTCAAGTCTCTCTCCTTCTGGCTGGACTCATGTTTTGCTTCGGCTGACTGTCATGTTTGTTAAACTGTTATGAGCCCATAAATGTGTGGATGAGTCTCCTTGCAGCGCGCCAGCGCGGTGGCATTGTCCGAGCGCCAATTAAATTGTAGTTTCTCATGGTCGTCTTTTTCATTTCCGCCGTCCTCCTGTATCTCCATAGCGGTCTGTCCCTCTCGCACTCATGGGGCGTCGCGTAACGCGACCGCGTAGGGGTGCGAGAGGGACAGAGCGACGAAAAGATCCTTCGAAATCAGGCGCCTGGAAAGCACCCTGCAACCTGCTGCGCGATCACTGACACTACGGTGGCTCCGTCCCTCAGTCAGGGAAGGCCCACGACGACGCACAGTGGGCCAGAAGACCAGTGGGGGCGGCCAAAACTCTAGACGCGTTTTCAGCTCCAGAGTCGCTAAATGGGACTCGAATCGAACGCGTGACCCCACCAATGGATTGCTCTCCGAACGAGGAATCCATTGGTGGGGTCACACGTTCGGTTCGAGGCCTGTTTAGCGACTCTGGAGCTCAAAACGCGTCTAGAGTTTTGGCCGCCTCCACCGGTCTTCTGGCCCACTGTGCGACGGCCGGGGAGGGGGGGGGGCTGAGGATAGAAGTGGTCCAGGCGATGGACGCGTTCTCCTGGACCAGGTCAACGGCTACGCTGCAGACTCATTCCGAGACAGTCGTTTTCGTCGCTGTGTCTCTCTCGCCTGTACGCGCGACGGTCCACGAGAGCGAGAGAGACAGAGCGACGAAAACGCCTCCCGGAATCGGCCAGCCCACTGCTTGCGTTGCAACCCGACCGGGCGCACCTTGCCCACCTTGCCTGCACTGTAAAGTGAGGCGTGCAGGCAACGCCAAGCAGGACGGCTGCACCGACGGCTGCGCCCACGTCGACTATTTCGCTGAAATTCGACAGGATTATCTCAAAAGGTTTGCCGTGGTGTGGATCCGATCCGCCGCCGAGCCAACGTCATTGCCGCAGGCTGAAGCGAGTTTGACGACAAAGTGCCCCAATCTACTGGTAGGTAAAGCATTGCCCCTCGGACGAACGTCAGGACCACGCGTTGGGCGGGCTAGCACCTTCAGGACCGATCCACCCCCACCCCCTTTTCCACCCCCTCACGCACCCACACACACTTACGCGCGAACCCAAGCGCGCGCCTGTGTGTGTGTGTGTGTGTGTGTGTGTGTGTGTGTGTGTGGGTGGGTGGGCACGCGCGTGCGCGCGCAGTCACAGCTCCCGGCAGACAGCAGGTGAGGAGACGGCTGGTCGGTCGTCGCGTCGGTCGGGCGCGGCCCGTTTGCCCGCCTGCCTGGCTGCCTGCCTGCCTGCCTGCCTGGCTGACTGCCTGCCTGCCTGCCTGCCTGGCCGGGCCGAGCAAGCGCAGAGCAGCGCAGAGCGCGCCGGGCAGCCGGAGCGCGCACGTCACGGGAACACACCACGCCACACCTGCCGCGCGTGTACGAACCACCCGAACGGGTTGAAAAGCAGCTGTCCCTTGGACCAGGGCGCCACGTGTGTGGAGGAGGTGGCCGTGTGTGAGCGGCAGCCAGCGGCAGCGCGCCAGCCGGCCGGCCAGTCGGGGCCGCGGGGGCCACGGCGAGAGGGGAGAGGAGAGGCCTTTCACCGCACCTCTAGAGCCCGCCAGCCAGCCAGGCGGCCACTGCGCAAGCGCGGACGGCGGACAGTGGGCCAGAAGACCGGTGGAGGCGGCCAAAACTCTAGACGCGTTTTGAGCTCCAGAGTCGCTAAGCAGGACTCGAACCGAGCGTGTGACCCCACCAATGGATTCCTCGTTCGGAGAGCAATCCATTGGTGGGGTCACACGTTCGGTTCGAGTCCTGTTTAGCGACTCTGGAGCTCAAAACGCGTCTAGAGTTTTGGCCGCCCCCACTGGTCTTCTGGCCCACTGTGCGGCGATACCCCGCGCGCGAAGGGGACCGCACCTGCCGGCGTGGAGTAGCGCCCGGACTACCCCCCCCCCCCCCCCTCCAGCATTTCACGCATTCGGAGAATCGAGAATGTGGTTTGGTGACATGCCCGACTAAAGTAGTGAGTAGTACCCACGTCAGCAGCTGCCTGCCGGCCTTGCCGGCTGGGCCGCCTGCGCGGTAGGCAAAAGTGACAGCCTGCACACTGGCGTGTCTAGCGGGACGGCCTACCCCGGCCAACGCAGGCGCTAGGCTCGGGTCGGGTCGGGTCGAACAGCCGAACTTTGGCACGCGTGGCTCTGTTTGTTGGTCCGGAGTTCAAGGCAGGCACTGTGTGCGGAAGGCTCTCTTTTTCTTTCAGTACATTGCTGCATTGACACATCATCACCTTTTTCAAGCATGAGCCACATTTCTGTAGTGTGGTCAAGCCCAGTGAATCCTCGGCTTAAACGATGTCGGTTCAAAATGAGGGAAAGAGGGAGGGATGACACAACGTCCGTCCTGGCTAATAAATCATACTCGATTTATTCGTACATAACATGTTGACACGCAATGACCCTGTTACAACACTGGCTTCGACAAAGAAATCGAAGAAATCGGGCACCACATCGGAAGTGAAACAGAGCAACTACCTCGAAAGCAAACAATGAGATCCATCCATTCAACAATCAACAATAATATCAGACAACAATATTCACAATATTCACACTGCTCACTAGGAGAGATGCATAAACTCTTAAAAGGAAGCGCATTTTAGGTTTGCGAACAAAGCTCATTTGTGTAGGAAAGGCTCTCCAGACCCATGCTGGACCTCGTGCCTATTTAAGTACATCACTACATTGACATGTCAATGTGATTAAATGCACAGCATGCCAAAAAGTTGTAACAGTTAAAAGATTGATCAATTATTTGTTCTCTGTTCCTAAAAAATGCAAGGGCTTAAACAATATGTTTGAAATCATGAAAAGAAATGACTACAATCATTTTCTGTGGCGGGGGCTGAAACAAAATCACTTGGGAGAATGACCAGCAAATTAATTTTAAATCTATAACCACATATGTTGTTCGAGCTAAGTTAAAATCTAACAAGAGAATTCATAAATTAGTCCGAGGAATGACACATAAGATAGAAACGCAGTCAACCACATAGGAAAGACATTATTACCCAAGAGGATAACAAGAGTGAATTTGTAATAAAACTTGCAACTATTTTTGGAGTCAAAAGGAAGCAACATTTATGGAGGCAACCTTTATGTCACTTTGTCATGCATAATCAAACCTACCTAAAACATTCTTGTAAAAATAATTTATATACATTTCACATATGGCTTTTCTTTAACTGCAAGTATCTCTGACTTCATAGCACCACTTAAATTAAATTAACCCGTTTCACTTAATTGTCTATTCTTTGTACATCAACATTTTGCTTTGATTCATCTTAAACAGTGAGAAAGAGTAAAATAGGGAAGGAAAACTTCTTTCTGTGTGCTAAGACCGGTATATTCTTGATGCAATATGAAGAATTGTTAAAACCTATTCTGATATGTAAGAATTTAGGTTACATAAAATTTTAGCTGTTGTATGGAATATGGCACAAAAGAAGGCGCGTTTGTGAAAGAAACACAATAAAATGGAAAGGAGCCAAAAACATAGAATAGAAAAGGTCTTACCAGTCTTCAACTTGACAAGTTCTAGAAAAGTTCATTTTTAACTATCCATACAACATTTATCGTCAATTCATCAATCGAATTTTAGAATCTAAGAAGCTCACTTCATATTCTTCACATGGAGGCAAAGGTCATCGGGAAATGACAAATGACATTGCACACGAACCAATGATTACAATAAATTATCAGTGCCAAATTAAATTATCAGTACTACATTGGCTTCTATGCAGTCCCTTGGTATTTCAATAACTGACATTGATACAGAAAATCACTCATCAATAATAATTTCACAAGCTGGCACAAGTTTCATAGGCTTATTTACAAGAACTCGAGAAAAACAACAAATAACTTCTTTAAAATTGAATAATTTTCTAAGCATTGTACCATACAGGAAATAATTCCAAAATATTGATTAAAATGTGACATAGTGTCTTTGAAGTTCCTAATCACAGACCTGTGAGCCAAACTCATAGAAAATTTTAAGTAGACATGACTTCGGGGATTCTTTTGTACAAATTTTGATATAAGCTAACAAATAGAAGAAGAACATCAAGGAATGTGTTTTTATATTGAAGGTATCCCAGAGCGTACAATAAATTTTAATAACATCACTAAAGCCAAATTAAAACAGTCATATCTTTTACTAATTTTTGATTTATATTTTTCTATAAAAATACTATAGAATAAGTTGGGAATGACACCAATGCAGGGACTACTTAATCAAAATAAACAAAACATAACAAAAAACAAAAACAGACTTTAAATTGTTTAGATTAGAGTCAAAAGGACTACAGTTATCTAGTTCCCACCGGAGGTACCTCTGACCCTGATTCTTCTACATTAGAGTCCTGAAAGACTTGAGGGCTGAGTAGATCCCGGGCCCTCTCTTCCCAGTGTCTTTGGTTCTTTTTAATTTGTCTTGTGTTGTCAGCAACAACTGCGTCAGCCTCTCCGTAAGATGGCGGGTTCGCGTGTGGGTCGTAGCCAAGAACTTGCAGCATCGGTGCGAGCTCCGCCATGTCTCGGACAACGTCATCTGGGATTTGTCCGACCCACTTCGTCAGCGCCTCTAAGTTGACGGGCTTAATGACTTGATCTGAAGACCTCTCCACCCTGGAAAGTAACATCAAATTGAAAAACGTTGAAACACCGCAAATACACACATGCAAAAAGGGGTGTGAAAGAGTAGGTCATGAAACACAATTCTCACTTTGAAAGAGAAACTCCTCCAGGTTTGTTGATGAACTCCTCATGGTGCAATACTGAAGCATTCCAAGGAATGTCGAGGAAGTGCAGAATCTTCTCCATCCACTGCTTGGGCTTCAACACCAACTGCTCGTAGGGCACCATCAGACATCGAGGGGAGACTGCTTGGCACTGAGCGTACATGGTCTGGATGGCAGAGTTCCACTTTTCCATACACTGCCGGTAGCTCGTCAAGTCAAAGCCCGTGATTGTGACCTGCGACAAACAGAACAAACAATCAATTAAAACAGACACTCTCGAAAAAGCAGATACACAACACAGTCAAACCAGGCAAATACCTTTCTTGAGATTATTGAGTGCACAGTGGCCCGCCCATCACGAACCATAAATACAAATTTGGAACTAGGGAATATCTCCGCGAGGTAGGTGGCTGACTTGAGCGTCAGCGGGTCCTTGTTGCACAGCCGGGGAGAGGGGTCGCCGTGGCGCGCGATCACTTCCAGGCAAAACGCCGCGACCGCCGCGTCCAGGACCTGAAACACGACGGCGCAAAGAGCAGTCAGAGCTGTCTCTCTTCGTCTGCAGCCTCCCTCCCTCCCTCTCACTCACCTCCTTGTTGACGCCGGCCTCTTCCAGCCGCACGCTCTCCTTCTTGGCCTTGACCCAGTGCTGCCGCAGCTGCAGCATGCGGGGGATGACCCGCGTCTCCTGGCCGCACCTGCGAGACGGCAACGTTCAATGGGAAGCTCAACAACAACAACGCGTTTTGAGCTCCAGGGTCGCTAAATGGGACTCGAACCGAACGTGTGACCCCACCAATGGACTGCTCTCCTAACGAGGAATCCATTGGTGGGGTCACACGTTAGGTTCGAGTCCCATTTAGCGACTCTGGAGCTCAAAACGCGTCTAGAGTTTTGGCCGCCTCCACCGGTCTTCTGGCAAGTCCACTGTGCGCGGGCGGGAATTCCCCCGACAGTGCACCGCACCGACTCACCGGACTTCCGGGTGCGCGTCCAGCATGGCTCGCATGAGGGTAGTGCCGCTGCGAGGCACGCCGCCGATGAAGATGAGCGGCATGTCCCTGTCGTAGCGGTACACGGCGCGGTCCGCCCCGACGGTGTATTGCTGGAACAGACGCACGCGTCAGTCACACATAAATCATAAATCGAGAGTAGTCGCCTTGCCAGAAAGGGAACAAGTGGTTACGCCAGTATACGGCGGGTCTGCGGCGCCGCTCGCCAGTCCGCACCGTGCTTCATGTTCCATGTTTCATGCATGAGGCCTGCCGCCCCTCCCGCCCCGCTCGCGAAGGGCCCGAAGGGCTCGCACGCCCTGCGAAAAGGGCCGCCGCCACTGCGAGCCCTGCCCGGCCCTTTCGGCCCTGTCCGGCCCCGTTTCACTATTTTAGGAGCCCACTTACTCACCACTTACTTGTCCTCGCCTCCCGTGTGTTTAAGCGGACAAGGACCGCACCCACACCGACCCCCTCACTACGCAGTATGGGCCGGGGGCCAAAATCCCGGACGCGTTTTGAGCTCAGAGTCGCTAAACAGGACTCGAACCGAACGTGTGACCCCACCAATGGATTGCTCGTTCGAAGCGCAGTCCATTGGTGGGGACACACGTTCGATTCGAGACGCATTTAGCAACTCTGGGGATCGAAACCCGTCCGGGTTTTTGACCGCCTCCACCGGTCTTCTGGCCCACTGGGAACTAGAAACCCGCCCGAGAGTTAGGCAGAAATTCACTTTTTACCCCCCGGAAGTAGGAAAAAAGCCAACTATGCTCCTTCTAGAGGTCGGCCTCCTGCCTTCCCGTCGGCTTGCCCTTTTTTAAAAAGCCAGGGGGGGGGGGGAGCACACGTACGGCGTACGGCCCCGAGCCACGCACGCAACAAAAGCATCAGATTTCACATTTCACAGTGGTGCGGATGACGGAGTGCCACGAGTGCCGCTGAGTGCCTCGCTTTGGGACAATCAACATATTGCGTGCCCGCTGCGTGGCTGCTGGCGGCCCACCCTAATCAAGCTCGCAAAAAAAAAAAACTTGAAAAAAAAAAACAAACTAAAAGCAACGAGAGGAATTAAGAGGAAAACGAAAACGGAACTCGCAGTGACCAACCCCGGCGGCTCCAGACAAACTCGCCCCCGCGATCGCCCGCCAACTCTGTGGTCCCCCCGAACTTGCGCAAAGCCAAAAGCCGTCCCCCAATAGGACCAACTCGGCCAACTTGTGAACTTTCCACCCGAGTGGCAATCGTTTAGGGAATGGGGTGGGCGTGGGGGGTGCAGATGCTATCAGGGCGGGTCTTGGCCGAATACCATCAACAACTGTCTTTGCAGGCTGATTCCGAGAGTCGTTTTCGTCGCTCTGTTTCTGTCGCACTCACGGGGCGTCCCGTGTAGGTGCGAGAGAGACAGAGCGACGAAAACGACTCCCGGGATGAGTCTGCTGCCGCCCCTCGCGCCGCCAGCGCAAACGGAAAGCGAGAACGAAATAACTTTTAATTATGAGAAGCGGTCTGGCGTTGGCGGTCTGGCGGTCTCCGCGGTGCAACGGGACACCGCGCCGGCTGGCTGGCTGCCTGGCCGGCTCCACGTTGCTAAGCGAGGCCCATAAATCCACCGAAAGCAGGGGGTAGTTCCCAGCAGACTGATTCCGAGAGTCGTTTACGTCGCTCTGTCTCTCTCCGCACTCGTGGGGCGCGCCGCACCGGCGCGGGAGAGACAGAGCGACGAAAACGACTCTCGGCATCAGTCTGCACCCCCAGCCCACCTCGGGCCCGCCCACACCGCGGCGCCGCGGCCACGGCGATGCCCCACGCCACCACGCCACTGCCACGGCTGGCCATGGCGAGGGGAGTCCCGCACTCGCGGCCGGAATGGGAGAGCCCACGCAAAGCCTGCGCCCTGCGCGCAGCGGAGGTGTTGGTCGTTGCCATTTATCCAGCCAGCCCCGCCCCACAGTGGGCCAGAAGACCGGCAGGGGCGGTCAAAACTATAGACGCGCGTTTTGAGCTCCAGAGTCGCTAAGCAGGGCTCGAAACGAACGTGCGACCCCATCAATGGATTCCTCGTTCGGAGAGCAATCCATTGGTGGGGTCACACGTTCGGTTCGAGTCCCATCTAGCGACTCTGGAGCTCAAAACGCGTCTATGGTTTTGACCGCCCCTGCCGGTCTTCTGGCCCACTGTGCGCCGGGCTGCCTGCCTGGCCGCCGCGCCCTGCCGCCCTGGCACCGAGCCGCACCGAGCACTTAGCGCCGCCCGCGAGGCCGGAGGTAGGCCGTCCTGCCGAGCACGCCAGCGCGGCGTGGAGGGTGACTCCAAGGGTGACTCACCGCACTCATTTCGTCGCTCTGTCTCTCTCGCACCGATACGGGAAGCCCCACGAGTGCGAGAGAGACAGAGCGACGAAAGCGACTCTCGGAATCAGTCCTGCTGGGGACGTTTGTCCTGAGGTCGGCGACTTAATGGAATTCCAAACGCGTCGGCCGGGGGGCTTGGGGGCTTTCGTTGACGGCGAGCCATGGACGTTTCGTCAACCCACCAGCGCAATGGGCTCATAACTGCCACTCTCCAAAATTCGACCAGGGAAATTTTCCCCCACGACAATTTAAAATGAGATCAACTTCAACACGACTCGGACTCACCTGCTTGGGCACCATGACGGGCGGGCAGCTCAGAGACATGCCGGTGGGGAGCAGGCGGTAGCTGAGGGCCACCAGGGCCAGCGTCACCAGGACGTACAGCCCCAGGCGCCGGCCGCCTCGGCCGCCCATCATGGCGGGGCCGCTACTGCATCCTGCCTGCGCAAACAACAACAACATGAGTCAACGGCGTGCAGTCATACTCGTGCCTCTACAGCCTGGACACTGCCTGTCACAAATTTCCAAAAGCTCTCCACTCCTCCCCTCCACCCCTGCCCTGTCGCCTCAGACGCAACCGAAGCCTTTCTGCCGGAGACAAGATCTGGCGGGCCAAGCGCCCTCAGCCTGCCTGGGGCTTGTTTACGGACCGCTAAAACTTTTACCGACAGTGCTCACGACGCCGCCATGTCCGCCAGGGTGCAGCAGCAGCGTCGTCTGTGCAGACCAAGGAGGCTCTGGCGGCGGACAAGGCGGCGTCGGGGATCAGACTCCAGCAGCGAGGCCTCGACGGCGACCTCGACGGCGACCTCCAGGAGGCGCACCGCCAACCTGAGGGCCACACCTGAGTGCGAGAGAGACAGGCGGCCCGCTCCCTTGATGGATAGCGCGTAGCGACCGTCTCGCGGCACAGTGGGCCAGAAGACCGGTGGGGGCGGCCAAAACTCTCGACGCGTTTTGAGCTCCAGAGTCGCTAAATGGGACTCGAACCAAACGTGTGACCCCACCAACGGATTGCTCTTCGAACGAGGAATCCATTGGTGGGGTCACACGCTCAGTTCGAGTCCTGTTCAGCGACTCTGGAGCTCAATACGCGTCTCGAGTTTTGGCCGCCTCCACCTGTCTTCTGGCCCACTGTGCGCGGGCGCGTTCGAACAATGCGATTCTTTCAAAGGGCCTCCCTCCCCGAAGCGAGGTTTGGCTTTGACGCATTCGGCCCTTCGGACGCAGCGGCAACTACTGACTCGGACCGAGGAGCGGAGAGGAGAGGAGTAGAGTGGAGCACATTGCAGCAGCAAACTCGATCACCAACACGACCAAGTCAGCGAGGAGGGCCTCACCGGGTACAAAGTAGGTACTACCCCTTTCATGGGAAACTCGCGCTCAAAACCAAACAAAAAGAAATAAAAAAAGGCACGCGTAAAACATGCGCGTGTGCAGCCCGACTGAAAGGGCGTACCCAGCAGGTAAATGCTTCGAAAAACAAAAACGAAGCCATCGTCTGCTCCCGCGTTCGCGCTGCGTTTGCCCTGCCTGCGCACATGTTGACGGAGAACACGCGAAAGAGGATTTCGCTTTTCGTTATTTTGTCGAACAAAACCCGGAAACGATAAGAGTGTTAATCACTCGCCTGTCCGTTGGCGCAAACAAAACCGGGAAAAAGGAAGGGAAAAAAAGAAAGAAAAGGGCGATGTTGCGAGCGCGGCAATGCGGGAGTCGAACTGGCGGTGGAAGGGATGCAATGGGGTTTCGGGGGGATTGTAGGGGGGGGGGGGGGGTTCTGCGGCCTCGACTTCGCAAACGGCACGCTTTTTCAAATCGCACAGTCAGGAGAGCAGGCAAGGCGGCCAAGGAGGAGGAGGGGCACCCGGAACATTGCTAGAAGAGGAATAATGAAAGAAAATATTTTTGCCCCGCCAGCCAGCCAGCCGTTCCAAACGCACCCACTGCGCGGCCAGCGTTTCGCGGAATGATATATACTGTATTTGTTTGCTCCATTTCACCACCAGCGGGCCAGCGGGTGGGAGGGAGAGGAGGGAGGGAGGGAGAGAGAGAGAGAGAGAGAGGAGAGAGAGAGAGAGAGAGAGAGAGAGAGAGAGAGAGAGAGAGAGAGAGAGAGAGAGAGCAGGAAGTGCACGCCACGCCTCGCCCATACAGTGCGGGCGAGTTAGAGGAGCAGAGGGGCATTTAGAGGTGCGTCTCCAGGAAAGAGAGGGAGGGGAGGGGAGGGTGCGAGTGAGAGGCAAGAGAAAAATAATGGCGCAGCAGATCGGTGAGGGGTGGCTGCGGGGTGGCTGCGGAGGGCAGGCTCATGGCTGGCCACTTTGTCTCTGCAACATTGTCTGTGCACAGTGCACCACCAGTCGGCCAGCGCCGCACCGCCGCGTCGCGGGGCCGCCTTGCCGCGCCCTGCCGCGCCTTGCTCTGATAATCGGACGTACTCCGGGGGCGTCCGACGCTCCCTGCTTCCGGAGTCCGGAGGCTCGGCCGGAGGCGGAAGCATTGATCCGCGACCAGGCGCGGCCCAGCGGACGGACGTCAACACGGACGGACAGACAGACAGGCAGTGTAAGTCCGAACTGCAAACTAGTCTCGTTAAACTGCACCCAAAGCCCTCGCATGCACAGCGATGCGCCGAGGGCGCCGTCACTGCAGAGGGACGCACACTGCCGCGCCCCACACTGGGAAAATGAGTCCGCAGTGTTGCGTCACATCGAGCCAATCCGCGCGCGCCTTTCTTCCCCAGAATGCAGTCTCATCCCGAACGGTCAGTCTGTCTCTCTCGCACTCGTGGAGGAGCGCCGCGTGGGGTGCAGAGAGGAAAGCATCACTGTTCGGAACTCGGTTCGGAATCAGGGTGCCGGGCCGATAGCGTGGCCGCCCTTAGGGCCCAGGGCCGCCGCCCGCCCCCGTCCCGCCCCCGTCCCGCCCCCGTCCCGCCCCCGGCCGCGACCGCTTCCGCCCGTCCCCGCGGAAGTGGGGCGGGGGCGGGACGGGGGGCGGGGTGGCGTCGTGTCGTATTGCTGTCGCGGCGACGCCGGTGTTGTCAGCGACGCCGCCCCCGGCCCGTCCCCGGCCCGTCCCCGGCGCGAGGCTAGCCCGGCATCTCCTTGGAAAGTCTGCGAGACAACGTTTCCAGCCAGCAGGCCCTGCAGGGTGTCTCGCTGCGGACGACGACAACGCGGCCGAAGTCCTTTCCCGCGCACAGTGGGTAGAGCGGCCAAAACTCCGACGCATTTTGAGCTCCAGAGTCGCTAAATAGGACTCGAATCGAACGTGTGTCCCCACCAATGGATTGCTCTCCGGACGAGGAATCTATTGGTGGGGTCACACGTTCAGTTCGTGTTCCATCTAGCTAGCGACTCTGGAGCTCAAAACGCGTCTAGAGTTTTAGCCGCCGGCGCCGGTCTTCTGGCCCACCGTGCCACGCCCCGACCGCTCTGCCGTCTCTCTCGCACTCCCAGGGGGTGCTGCGCGGGTGCGACAGAGACAGAGGCAGCCAGGCCGGCTAGGCTCGCCTCAAGGCGCCGGCCTGCTTCGCCTGCTTCTGGCCGCGTGCCCCAACAACACTAGGCCCTGGGCCCTAGCGGCGCCCTGGCCGGGCCCTTTATTTATGTGTGGCTCCACTTCCTTTCTGGCAGTGTCCGGGGGAGGGCTCCAAGGGCGGCAGCCTGGCTCGCCCTGTCTCTCTCGCACCGCCACGGGACGAACCATGAGTGCGAGAGAGAAAGGCCTCCCTCTCCGAACCAGCCAGCCGGGAAGCAAGCAGGGCGCTGCGATACGGCCGAGTAGAGGGAGAGAGAGGGGGAGAGAGAGAGAGAGAGAGAGAGAGAGAGAGAGAGAGAGAGAGAGAGAGAGAGAGAGAGAGAGAGGAGAGAGAGAGAGAGAGAGCAGTGCACGCACTCGGGCAGCACACGCCAGACAGTCCATGCACCCGCACAGTGGAGAGGCCAAGCCAAAACCAGCCCGCTTATCTCGAGTATCTGTGCAGGGGTGCGGACGGACGCGGAGGTGTGTGTGTGTGTGTGTGTGTGCGTTCATGTTTGCCACCGGCCTTTAGGTGCGATATGGTCACGCGCGCTCGTGAACAACGCGTCACCCCCACGAATTTACGAGCCAACCGTTTACACCGTCAATGAATAAAACAAAATGATTTATTTAAAAAAAAAACGCGCGCCTTTTTTTCTTTGAACAGAGAAAGTAAAGTTGGTTTTTATTTTATCGGGACTCATCGTCCGTCATCGGGAATTTGAAACAGCCGCGCAAATGGCTGCGATTCATCACGCAGTAATGCGCCCCGTTCGCCGTTCTTTCGGCCGGACTGGCGTTATTGCTGCTCTAAGTGTGTCATTAGCACTGCGGGCGTCCAGCGTCGAAGGACTCCGAGAGTCGTTCTCGTCGCTCTGTCTCTCTTGCACCTATGCGAGGCGCCCCGTGAGTGCGAGAGAGACAGAGCGACGAGAGCGACTCTCGGAATCAGTCAACAGGCCCCGGCCGCCGGGACTCCCTCGGGACGGACGAATCACGCCCCCGACTTTGGACAGTCCTGGCTGGCTGGCTGCCTGCCTGCCTGGCTGGCTCCTCGATGGCCTGTGGCGACACGTTTTACGACTCGACGGACGTGCCAGTGGCGTGCCAGTGGCGTGCCAGTGGCGTGCCACCCCTTCAGGGGCGTATCTCCCGAGACGCGTGTCTCCGTGTAACGACCGTTTTATGGTGTACCCGCACCCGCCAATATCCGGGCCAAAAACGGGCCGACTTGACGCGCGATCTGCAAGCCAAATAAGGGCAAAAACAGCCACCCATTATGGCGGCGGGGCGGGCCAGGGGGCCCAGAGGGGTGGACACGGTGAACACGATGACGAGGCAGGGTGAACGGGGTGAACAGAGGACGGCCTCGTCTTTCCACCCTCTCCTCTCGTTTCCAATATTCCAGCCAGGATGGCCCTGCAGACCGAGTCGTGTTCGTCGCTCTGTCTCTCTCGCACTCACGGGCGCCCCCTATAGGTGCGAGAGAGACAGAGCGGCCGCAGGCGGCCAGAGGGGACTTCCGCGTGACTTATCGCGAGCCGAGACTCCGTAACTTCACCCTGCCCTCGACGCGTTCGACGACCCCGCCCCGCCGCGGTTACTCTACTCCGACTAGCGTAGCTACGGCCCGTCTCATTTTCGATTCGCCTTCAAGCCGCCGCCAGGGCCGTCACTCACTCCCGAGCCAGACGACGGTGCACAGTGGGCCAGAAGACCGGTGGAGGCGGCCGAAACTCTTGACGCGCTTTGGGCTCCAGAGTCGCTAAACAGGACTCGAACCAAACGTATGGCCCCACCAATGGATTCCTCGTTCGAAGAGCCATCCATTGGTTGGATCACACGTTCGGTTCCAGTCCCATTTAGCGACTCTGGAGCTCAAAACTCGTCCGGGACTTTGGCCGCCTCCACCG